TCCTTCATCACCTTAAACGAAATAGGGTGAATACATCTCATATTACTGATTTACTGGTAGTCTCGAAACTTTACTCAAACACGAGAAATACTAATGTATATTTTCGTTTTATTAAGCTGATTTATTTATCATTCTTTATTCCTTATAGTGTTCCACTACATTGAGTGGCGTCTCTTTCGTGCCGGCCTCTTGTCAGATATTCCCCTTATCGCTTCAGCTCTGGTATTTTTCTGCTTAGCATACAGGTGGGACAAAATTATCTTACCTTTTTTTTCTTCTGAAGGCTTTATTGCAGCCCATAATATATAAGACTTATCAATAATTTGCCTATAAAGCCTTTATTAATTTTATGATATTAAATCTACATATTATTTTTTATTAGTACTATTATAACTTTATATATTAACTGTTTAAGATAGCTTTATCAATTTTTTCCTATACATGTTTTAAGTATACTCGGTATTTAATCTCAGCAATTTGAACGATAACCTTTGACCAATATTCATCATCAAAAGTTCCTTTATTCTCTTCAGAGTTAAAATACTTTTTATTCACACTGAAACCCCTAATTTTCCTTTTCCTTTTCATCCATAACTTTGTTTATATGTCTATCCTCTAACAGCCTGCATTACCGTCCTTTGCGTCGCATGCTCCTTGACCATCCTTGCTCTGCCCCCAAAACTGATGATAGCACCTCTAGAATTAGAAAAATTCCTCATTTCTATTCTGTTGGTCTCAAGGATTATCGATCTGCGATCAGTTGGCCGGTGGCGGGGCTATTTCTTGTCGCGATTGGTCTGACCAAGCTTTGCCTGATCGGCTTGCATCGCATTGAAGTGGCCAATGCTATTGCAGATCATCGAGCTCGCCTTCTGGGGACATTCGGCTCCTTTTTCTCTCCCTCTCACTCCCTCTCTTTATCTTCTTTTTCACCTAATTTATATTATTCTCTCTCTCAATCATCTTCCTCTACTTTTGGGTTTTGGGCTGCCGGACAGCCTGGATTTCGACTTTCCAGTCTCCTTGCTTTATATGGGTTAAATATTGGCCTCGTAGCAGGACCTAGACTCCTGTTTTTTTGGGCAGGCCAGGAATTGAACTGGATTAATATCAGAAAGCACCACTTCCCTCTTAAACATGAATCAAGGCTTGGGTTATCAGGCAACAAAAATATCATTCCTTTGACCAGAGTAGGTCTCCTGTTTTACCAACAAGACTGGTATTGCTTGTCTTGTCTGAATATTCTTTTAATCTACTCCTACAAACATAAACGTGGATTCTATTTTCATCATTGATATCACACTCAGTTTGATTTGTACACTGTTACTGGTATTTACATTATCTTCTATGTTAGATACGATGAGCAACTGGGTTTGAACGAATCTACTAAGATAAAATTGTTGGGAAGGCTTTCATTTCCTATGAAAGTGCATGATGAGGAGATTCGAAGGCCGATAACATTAGAAAATGACGGCTGATTCTCGTCGTACTTCAAACGATGCTCAGGTCGCAGCAGTCCACGAGACATCCTTTCTCGTTTTTAGTGAAAACGGGCTGATCTTTCGTCCATCATATGATTGAAATTATCAGAACTGGAACTCATTCATTCAAAAGCCTCAAGTTAACACTAGGTCAAGAAAGTCATCTTTGGTGAGATCGTCCTTCGAATCTCTTCATCATGTGTTTTCATGTGAAATGAAAGTTGACTCAATAGCCTTTTACTTTCGTTTATTTGAAGACCAAAATGATGTGGCCTATTTGGTTGCGGTCTTCTTCAGCTTTATAGTGTTGGTTCGACATCGTTTTCGCAACTTGTTTGGAGCCTCAGGAAGATCTTGTGGAACGTACTTATTCCTGTGTCCTCTGCCATAGTATTTGTGATTTCCATCATCAGATCATTGACTTGTTACATTCCAAAACGTTTCGCCGACATCGTCAATGAGAGGTGCCATCAACAGCACAGAGTTGCAACTTATCAAAGTGACAAATGCCACTAGATACGTTCCACAAGGTCTCACTGACGCTCCAACCAAGTTGATAAAACGAAGTTGAATCAACACTATAAAGCTTTGATTTTATTCTTCTGTGTCTCTGATACCGAAAAGTAAAATCAGCATAAGGTTCTATCTTGAAATTTTTTCGCGTGTGGCTATT